CCCCCGCCCCGCTTCAAAAAACGACAGCCGCCACAGCGGCTGCTTGACGGTCGTCTCTTTCAACGGCAGTAGACGCAACGCCGTGAAGCACGCTGACCCATCAGCTTGTCCAGTGCCTGCCATGTAGGCCTGACCTCACTGGGGGCGGGTGACGTCAGTCATCGCCGCACCCATTTACAGTTTCCCTCTCACCCCAGTTGCCCTGCCCGCCACCTCACCCCTCCAAAACCACCCGGCACCCTGCCCCCCAGGGCGCCCGAGGTCCAGCAGGCAGCTGCCCAGCAGCTGCTCTCCCCCGAGCCGCCGCTCCAGGTCGCCGCCCTCAAGTGCCTGCGCCCCTTCCGGCTGCCGTACCTGCCCGGCCCGCTGCTGCAGCGGCTGCTGCGGCTGGCGGACAACGCCACGCTGAGGGAGGAGCTGGTGGCGCTGCCCATGGCGCAGGGTGCTGAGGGCGGCATCGCGGACGAGCACAGAGCAGGTACGTGGCGGGGCGCGCGTTTCGTCGCGTATTCCTTCAGCACCGGGGGCATGGCTGCGAGGTCAGGTTAGAACTGACAGGCATCGAGGGTGGAATTGAGCTTGTGAGGAGATGAGGGGGCGGCGCCGCGGGCGTTTGCCCGGTTCGGTCAGGCGGGCAGGGATGGGTACCGGAAAGGCACTGATCGGCCGCTCCTGCCCAGGCTCTACTGGCGCACGTCTAATCTCCCCGTCAGGCTGTTGGTTGTGCCGTTGCTCGGGTCCCGCCCTTGCCTTCCCGTCCCGCCTTGACTGGATGCGCCGCCCCGACGGCGTGCCGCCTTGGTGCCCGTAGTAGTCTGACCCGCTTCACGCTTGAACTCGCCCCACCCACCCACCCCGGGCCCGCAGGCTTTGTGCCGCTGCTGATCATGGTTCTGTTCCCGAAGACGCGCAAGCGCTCCGGCCGCCTCGGCGGCCGCGGCGCGCCCGGCAGCGCGCGCGCCGCCGTGCTCAACGCGCTCGCGGCGCTGCAGCCGCTGGAGCTGCGGCCGCTGCTGGAGCTCCTTCTAGAGCCCCTCGGCGGCTGCTTCTCAGACCCCGATTTGGACTCAAACGCCGCCGCCGATGGCGCGACGCCGCGCAGCAAGCGGCCGCGGTTTGAGGGGGCCGCGCAGGTGCCCGGCAGCTTCGCGGCCGCCGACGCGGACGGCCTCGACCGCTGCCGCCTCGCGCCGCCGCCGTGGTGGTCGGCGCGCATGGGGGCCGAGGGGCTGTCGTGGTGGCTGTCGGCCGTGGACGCGGGCGCGCTCTCGCGGCAGCCGCTGCGGCGGAAACAGGGGTACCTGAATGCGTTGGAGGACCTTCTGGGCCACCTGGGCTTCCGCCTGCAGCCGCTGCTGCCGCCGCTGCTGGCGCTGACTGTGCGCATCCTCCAGGCGGCGGTTTCGCCCGTCCGCGACGCCGCGGCAGCCACGGCCGCCGCACACGGCAGCGGCGGGGCGGGGGAGGAGGAGGCAGAGGCAGAGGAGGAGGAGGGGCGGTGGGCGCAGGGGCAGGATGCGGAGAGCATCGCGCACGCGCGGGAGCTTCGCGGCCAGTCGCTGCGCCTGCT